ATACTTTATTTGTCTACTGGACTGAGAACGTTTTGAGCTGAAAAATTATGAAGTATATTTATTAGTAAAAGAAGATAAAGATAGCTGGATATTATTTTTACATCAATGAAGAAAAGAAACATAATTTTTTTTTACTGACACAAACAAATGAAAGGTGAATATTACTGACGTCTGAATTGAGGTTAATGAAATAACTATGAGCAAAGTTCAAAGTAATAGTCCTAAAGGTTTCTGTCATTTTTCTATCTGCGTTAGATACATATCCAGTTTCTACATTTAAGACAAACATGTAAAATGGGCAGTGTGTTTGAAATACTGGGAGTCCAGGCGTGGCCATGTGGTTAGCGTGTCCTGACTGCTAATCTGATGATTCATGGCTCACATCCCGTGGGTAAGCAGCAGTCAAATTTCATCAATTACTTGTAAAGAGTTGGTAGAGGGTATAGTTAAGTGACTGCCTTCCCTGTAGCTATCAGCTACAAATTACGGACAGCTATACGTCTGAAACATGCAAAACTAATTCTGAAATACTGGGTCATTCGAATAACTTTATGTGCGTTTGCTCATACTTCACAGGTTTATGGTTAATCAAACTTTCTCTGTTGTTTGGTTAGGTTCGTCTAACATATTAATGGTTAGTATTTTTACACAGTTGGCTGGTTTTTTGTTGTTGTTGTGCTGATAATGTTTTAAATGATTTTACAGTGCTTTTGATTAGTGTTTATGAAATAGAGTCAACACGCTTCATAAAGTTGTAGATATTACTGAGACGGCAAAGTTTCTAAGGTAGAATATAATTACTTTTAGCAATAACCAGGCTATATTTCAAACTATCCTTCTTCAAAAAGAAGCAACAGGAATTAATTGAGAAAATTATTGTCATACAGACATTTACGTTTAACAAAATTCTGTAAATTAACTTATATATCCGTAGGGTTCGTATTAAAGTATTTTTTCTACTAATACTTTATTTACGTTTTTGAGATTATATATTTCCAAGTTTTTGTCTTTTTTTTTTCGTTAAGCACATCACGGGTATCGAAACCCGAATTTTAGTGTAATAGGCCTCAGACTTACCGTCGAGTTATCTGAATAGTGCCTAACTATAATTTAACTAATTTCTTAAAAACTAGATGGCAGCAACTTTCTTTTCTCACGCTGTTTCCGGATTGTAAACATTTAATTAAATGATTGTATTGGTGCAAAAAATATTAATTTTAAAATAGTTAATTATAGCGAATATTATATTGTAAACTGAATGGAACAAATACACTTTTATTAGATTAGTTACAGTTTTCAGAATGATATATCATAAGACAACAGAACTGGGCTATCATCTGCCTTCTCGTACACCACTATACAGAAAACTACATTATTCAATATTTCTATATATCGCTGTGAATAGTAAATTATTATTCACTCTAATTATAACATGATAGTTGTGTTAATTATAGCAACTATAGCTTCAAATTCCAACCGGTCTCAAACTCCATTTCTTTAAGAAAAAACAACAATACTCATCTCGTCGTTCACGTACTGATAAACATTATCAAACGTACAGAATCATAGTAAATGTCTTCCTGGTTTGTGACGTATATCGTTTTTTTTATTTTAGTTTAAAAAAGGTGAAAAATATATCTGTACCAAAATTCCCAATTCTATATTTTTGCATTCACACATGTTAGCGCACGTGCTCAACCTCTAGCAGCTTGCTTGAAGAACAGGTCACTCACTGTTCCATCAAAAGCCTTGAAAGTTTTTTTTAGGAGCATCTCATTTGAATAAGGAAGGCATGAAGCCACACAGTATAGGAGACACATTAGTTCTTCTTGTTGCCATAGAAATGTGTGATATTATGTATGAAGAGAGGGTGAAGCCCTCAAGTCGATTCCTTTATCACGTGACACTGTCGCGAGGAGTATAGATGCAATTTTTGTTGATATAAAAATTAAATTAATAAGACACGTCCAGAACTGTCGAAAATCACCATACAACTTGGTGAAGCATAGATGTTGCAAACTTAGCTCAGCTTCTATTATTTTTATGATACTCTTAAGAAGAGTTTCAGTTTTGCTAAGCACTAGAAGGGAGAGCTACAGAGGAAGCCATCTTTTCTCTTGTTGATGAGTTTTTCACGACAAACAATCTTTCTTGGATTAATTGTGTTGGGATATGCACTGATGAGGTAGCTGAATTTACGGAAAACAAAAAAATTGTTGAGAGATAAAGTAAGTGCTTTTGTTCGAGGTGTTAATATTTACACATTGTATCATACACAGGGAAGCACAAACTTTGAAGAAATTGCAGCCCAAACCAAACAAAATACTACAAGCAACCGTAAGTTTTGAAAACTTTGTAAGTTAAGAGCCCGGAACAGCAGGTTGTTTTTCCATTCTTTGTGGCAAAATGAGATCTGCATACGAAAAACTCCTGCTGCATACAGAAATGCGAAGGCAACAAAAAAAAATTGACAGTCTACATTCTCAAACTGATTTTTTCACAGCTCAAGGTTTTTGCAAAAACTTTGTCGCTCAGCTACAAAATACTGGTATTTCGACATTTTAGTGACAAACTAAGGCTGTTATATTTATCGAAAATATGAGCCAGGTAATACAGCATTAGAAGCCACTTTTCATCCATAAAATGCGCTGTAAGTTTGTGGGTTGCAGTCTAAATTCGTCTTTTAGTTGCACAATTTGACGGAGTACCTTCCCAAAATAAATTCGTAGATGAAAATGAGTTAACTTACAGTTTTATTCGTAACGTTATTTATATTCTCTCGAAAACTTTAATGTCAGTTTGCAAATCAATTCTAAGAATCAACGGGAGGACACGATTAGATCTAGAATCCATTTAATGTCAGTATAACTTCTCATTTGCCAATGGCACTATCCAGTGGCAAAATTCAGGCAGAATCCAAGTCAAAACCTATTGGAAACTTTAAGATGCTAGAAAACCCTGATATGTCAAGAAAAGCAATGGACGTGCTCTTGCCTTTCACATCCACATACCTGTGCGAGTAATCGTTTTCTGCTCTGACAGCAACCAATAGTCCTCATTTTGTCTTTAGCTTAAATTTACCATTCTTTCTAAACAAGTGAGAAAACTGAAAATGTTTGCCTTACACCATGTACCATCTTAAGACTCGTTTTATTTATTATTATACGGATTGCACGGAGGTAGGGGGAGCCTTAACAAACACACGGACCACTGTTCTAGATTTATTTAAGTCAGAATCTAGACAAGGCTGGCTCTCATGAGCAATGACAAATGTACAAGTAAATCTGGTGAGATTGGGAATGTCTCAACGAATGGAAAAAAAATTGCTTAATTTTCAAATTTAAAGAATACTATACAAAAAAAAGAAAAGATCGACGTTGCCCCCTTTAATAAATATTCAGAATTTGCCTTTGAAATGAATTCAACCCACTAAAACCGAGAACAGAAGTTATAAAAAAGTAATGCGTAAAGAGACAATGATGTAGTTGTTTTTTAGTGATCTCGTTGTAGTATGTTCTTTTGTTATGTACTTAAAAAGTTTATTTATAATTAGATGGTTTGTTTCTTTCAGCTCAAAGCCACAAAGTAAACTATCTGTGCATTGCCCAACATGGAGAATTGAACACGAAATTAAGCGTTTTAATTATCTAGTCTCACTGCTGAACCACTAGGGGACTATAATTAAGTAGGAAGCTAGAAAATAAAATTTTTCATTAAAAAGTGGGTGCAATCTGCTCTAGAGGTGTATCTATCTAGCTATAATAATATTGCATCAGCGAGGTCAC